GGGGTTGGTTATATGCAAGTCAGTTTGTACTAGTCCAAATTTATATGTTGAACTTAAAAAAATAAAAGAAAAAGGCTGTACAAATACTCATTTCATTTTAAACCAGACATGCTGTGGAAGAGCATCGATTATAACAATTAGTTAAACTGAAATAAACTACTTTTTAAAAAGGGAAAGCTCCAAAGGTATCAGTGTTTAACTAAACTAGGACACATGTATTTAGACAGGGCAGCTTAGACAGGCATTTAGAGCATAGGAGTTAGGCATCAGATGTGCAAGAAGATGTCTTTCCCTGAAAAAGGAGCCAAGGACCTAGGAAAAGACAGCACAAGAGAAGTATGGTAAAAGGCTGCATGATAATACCCAGGAATAAGTACAAACTCCTAGTTAGGATGGACAATCCCATGCCCACTGCAGGCTGGGGACCCACTGGCTGAGCAGCAGCTCTGCAGAAAAGGACCTGGGGGTTAGAGTGTGTCCACATAAGCTGAATGAGCCAAATGTGCTCTGGTTGCAACGAAGGCTAACAACATACTGGGCTGCACTAGTATAGTACTGCCAGAAGACTGAGGGAAGTGATGAGCCCCTCTTATTTGATGCTGGTGAGGCCACATGTGGAGTACTGTGTCCAGTTTTGGGCCACCTACTGTGAAAAAGATGTGGACAAACTAGACAGTCCAGAGGAGTCCAGTACAAAGAGGATGGAGCTAAACTATTTTTCAGTGGTGGCAGATGACAGAACAAGGAGCAACAGTCTCAAGTAGCAGCAAGGGAAGTTTAGGTTGGGCGTTAGAAAAAACTCTCTCGGGGGGAGGGTAGTAAAGCACTGGAACAGGCTACTCAGACGCTGTAGAATCAACATCTTTGGAGGTTTTTAAGACCCGGCTAGACAAAGCCTTGGCTGAGATGATCTAGCTGGGGATGGTGCTGCTTTGAGCAGGGGGTTGGATGGGATGACCTCCTGAGGTCCCTTCCGACCCTAGTTTTCTATGATTCTGTGCCTCCTATTCGCTGCCTGGCCTGCTGAGCAGAAACAAAGACCCATGGAGAGACCCAAGGTGCTGAAAGTTTCCCAGCAGATCTGATCTGAGATACAATAACTTAGACAGAATAGACTTAAAATGCCAGAGGTGCACATTGCATGGGCTTGGAGACTAAATTCTCCCAGCTACGATTAAAGAAAAGCCTGTGTGTCTCTTCTCAAACCCCAAGAAATAGAGGTTTTGCAGAATTATTACAAGCACTATTTTCAAAAAGAATGAAATAGGGACAGGTACTTTTTAAAGCCCCTCTTGTAGAAACTTCTTTTACATTGTACATGGAAGTGTATCTGGGATGGGTACCAGTAATCAGGACTCATTGTAAAGGTAGTATCTTTTATTAGAATAGATATTTGCAAAAAAAGCTTGCAGTTAAAGAATTTTTCAGACACAAGCACCTGTCATCAGGCATAGGAGAAAAGATTGTAAGAATTCTCTTGGGCAGAAATGAAAGTTCATATTTCATAGGAGAGCTGAAGGTGTGGTGAAATCTGTTTGGAACAGTTCATTGTATATGCAGATTAGGCACAGAGAAAAGTTGGAATAGCCTGTTTAACTCAAAGCTGTTTGGTGGTAAGCAGGATGTAGTCATATTTCCTTCTGGTTATGGTGTTTTATATTTTACAGAGGAGTAAATAGTGGAATGCTCCTCTGGGCAGGCATTTCTTCCATGGTAAGGTGTTGCTGAGCTCTGTCGTGTTGCTCTGTGATGATGCAAATGACCTCGAACAAAGGTTCGAGGCAGGAGCTCAAGTTTCAGGTGGTCAAACTCGCTTTTTCCTTGTAAAATTATGAATATTTCATTTTTAAAAATTGGCTAAAATTCAGTATCTTCCATGCATCAGGTATCCAGAGTGTAGCTCTATTGGTCTAGTGGCAAAATCAATCAGGACTCGTGGTAGAGGTGATATCTTTTATTAGACCAACTAGATTTTTGCAAAAAATTATTCTTTAATTGCAAGGTTTGGGGCACAAACACCCTTCATCAGGCATAGGAGAAAAGGTTGTAAAAGTTCTCCTGGGCAGAAATAAAATCTTCATAATTTTATGAGGAAAAAGCAAGTCTGACCGCCTGAAACTTGAGCTCCTGCCTTTGTTTGAGGTCATTTGCATCATCACATAGCCTCACCACAGAGCTTAGAGACACCTTGCCACATAAGCAATGCTTGCCCAGAAGAGCATTCCCACTATTTACTCCTCTGTGAAATATAAAACACCATAACCAGAAGGAAATATGACTACATCCTGCTTACCACCAAACAACTTTGAGGTAAACAGGCTGTTCCAACTTTTCTCTGAGCCTAATCTGCATATAAAATGAACTGTTCCACACAGGAGATTTCACCACACCTTCAACTCTCCTATGAAATACAAACTTTCACTTCTACCCAGGAAAACTTTTACAATCTTTTCTATGCCTGATGAAGGGTGTTTGTGCCTGAAAGCTTGCAATTCAAGATTTTTTTTTTTTTCAAAAACCTAGTTGGGTCTACTAGAAGATATCACCTCTACCACGAGTCCAGATTGCTTTTGCCACTAGACCAATACAGTTACAACCCAAATACCTGGGATGGGTGTTGAAAGTCTCACTTCCCTGTCCTTGGCAGCATCCCAGTCTCCAGCCATCAGACCGCTGTTTGTTGGTGTTGCCTGCTAACAGATCACTGAGAAAAATCAGACAGCCCCTGTAATTTGATCTCAATGCTAATATCAGAGGAACAATCCACTGGGATACCTCTCAGGGATCCTGGTTTTCTCTGCTTAAAAACTGCAAATTATCTGATTATTACCCACCCCCCTCTCCCCACAAATTCTGATTACAAACCCAAAATCTTTTTTCCCTGCAATTAAAATGAAACACCACTATATAGATCTATATATCTGTATATATAGGTATCAGTTGAACAATTTTTTTTTGTTATATTTACAATTTTGAAGCCTATCAGTACCTCGATTTAGAATAAAATACATTCTAAATACCTGTACATTTTGGTGTTAGTTTTGGGTTATCATGGAAAAAAGAAATCGGAGCTCCCCTTGCTCCCCAGGATGCAGGTCTGGTTGCCGCTACCCCCCTCCCCGCTTTGTGGCACTGAGCAGCTCTGATATGCCAGTGCTCTGTCCATGCTATTGCCCTACTCTCCACCCACAGCCCCCCAGGCCTTGCTGGTGCCCCTCACCCCACCCACAGAGCTGCCACAGGGGGCCCCAAGCTGCCAGGGCTATGGGGCCAAGGACCCAGGTCCACAGCCCCCTCCTTCCCAGCAGCTGCCTGGTGGAGCTGGGGTCCCCCTCCCCTGCAGTGGCATAGCTGAAGTGGAGCCCATTGGGTGTGGTGGGGTGGAGGCAGGGTGGCAATGCCAGCTCAGGCTCCCCACCCTGCTGCCCTCCCCTTGAGGGCCTCAGTCTGGCAGATGGCACCTGGTGCAGCAGGGGAGGGAAGCTTGGTGCCACCACTGGGAGTCCCGCACAGCCATGGCAAGGAGCCCCCTGTGTGTGTGTGTGTGTGGGGGGGGGGGGG